AATCAGTCAATCCCCTGAACCCTGAGTTCAGGTGGTTTCAGAATCTTATACCCAGCATGTAAGGGGAGGGGGCTCAGAAGTTCACATTGTAATACTGAGACCCTCAAATAACTCTCAGACCACACAGTCTCATTCCAGGTAAGCCTTTATTGCTGGCTGGTGACAGACACTCTGCTCTCGAAAGAATGAGATGGACAGAGTGGTGCTCCTGCCTTCAGGTGGCTCCATATTTAAGCACAAATACCACAAAAGGGACGTTTGGGGGTTTAGGCAATGCAAGCAAGCCTGAAAGTTTCAGTCAGTTAGTCTCCAGTTGGCACCATAGATAATGCTGAGTTCTTGGGGGCTTTTCGTGAAAAAAAGAATACAAAGTGCCCCAGTCATGACTTTTTTGTGTGTCATGGCTGAGTTCACAAAATGGAGTCACCATAGTCAAGTTGTCACATCACACACATAAAAGCAGCTTTTTCTTTCTCTGTTCTGGCTAGGATCTCCCTGTTTGAGAAGCCAGATTTAAAGAGAAGTGTTTCTGTAGCTAGGTTAATGGGGTTCATTAGGAACCATAAAGAAAATGGAGTATAATCTGAGCCTGGGAAAATCATAAAAACACCTGAGAAATTGAAATATTAGTGTCCCAGGATCTTGGGCAGGTCCTAATAAGGGTTAATGAAGTAGCTCCCAGTAAAACCGGGAGATGCTAATCAAATCACCCTAGGCTGTTCCTGCCCTGGTTTCTGCTTCCTGCCCCATTAGTCCACCAGTTTCCCACCCTTTGTCCTTCCACCTGCAGCCCCCATCACATGCACAATAAAGAGAAATAAAGGACAGGAATGTGGGAGGACAAAAGGCAACCTTAGGTATAAAAGGGAGAAGACCTCCCTTTTCCAAGGATTTCTCCTTTGGAGACCCCTTCTTCCTGGGGGTGGGGGCGAATCTTTTCTGCTCTCCCTCAATTAAGCCTTCCACTTTCCACTCTCCACGTGCTTCTCTGGTGTTATACTTCAGCATTTGGGGAAGCAAGGACCTGTCACAGTAAACATGGGTAACACTGTAGATCCTGACCTGAACCTTGGGCTCCTCCTGCCTGAGGCTCCCCAAGTAACTTCTTTTGTTAATTTTTATTTGTTTCTGTGGTGGAGTTAACACCCAGGGCATCATTCATACTGGGAAAGCAGTCTCCCCGAGCCATAGTTCAATCCCATCCTTACTAAGTTCCAAGCAAAGGCTTCTAACTTGGAGTTTTTTCTAGCCCAGCAAAGCCTTGTCACCTGAAAAGAACTGTCACTCTAGGCAATTTTAGCTAGTGATTGGATAACCTTAGCTGTGAGTCACAAGGCAGAGATGTTCCTGGAGGTGGCCCATTAGGGATGCTGGGGTGGAACTGTCCTCACCAACTCTGTTCCTCCCTTTCCGGGCCCCATGTGCTCTGCTCAAAAAGCCTAGGTGATTCTGAGCAGCCAGTGTCCCCGAGATCTCTGGTGTCTGGAGGTTCCTCGAGAGAATACCAGGTCCCCAAGGAAGACAGAAATGGTGAGTTTGTGATGAGGGCTGAAGGTACGTGGTCAGCACCTGCCTTGGGGTCCCCACAATTGGGTGAGCTGCAGAGCCTGGCGGAGTCACCTCTGGAGGTTGCCCTTGGTCTCTGTCCCCTGGTCCTGGGGGTTGGGCTGGATGGTAGATCCTTAAAGTCACCTCGCTGGCAGCTGACCCTAAGCCTCTGTCCACTGGTCCCTTGGGGTGAGCTGGGTGTTGGGTGCCTTAGGTTGGTGCAGAGGGTGCAGTCTAGTCCTTCATGGTGGATGGCCCTGGGCTTCTGCTCTCTGGGCTGGAGTGGTGGGCTGGTCCCTGAGGTCAGCTGCAGAGCATGAGGCCCAGTTCCCACTGGCAGGTGACCTTGGGCCCTGTCCCTGTCCCTTGGCTTCCATTTTTGAATGGGTGGCTCAGGTCCCTGGCCTCCCCTCCTCTCCCTGCCTGTGGCCTGCACCCACTCTTCCAAATGTGTAGGAAGCAGGATCGCAAATCCACTTTTCTTCCTCCAGTTTAGTTTCTCCATAGGCTGCTGTAGGTCCTTCATTTGCAGTTGTCTCCTGCGTTCTAAAATGCCATCTTCCTCTTCTCTTCCCATCATTCTCAAATATCTGGTCTTCCTCCTGTGTTTCAAATGGACACAGTCTATTAATTTTCACTTTCTCTCTAGTGAAGTATGGCAAGGAATATATTGTTTTTGGATTGAGGATCAAAACTAGAGAAGCTTTATCAGTGAAATCCTCAGGCACACCCCTTCCCTTATTTTTTTTTTTTCAATCTTGGTCTACATCCCAGCCCTTTTTTTGTTTGTTAGTTTTTGCAGAAGTTATTTATTTGTTTTACTTGGTTTTCATTACTTGTACATAGCAGTAAAAACATTTTGTCACATCATACATAAACAGAGTTTAACTTCTCCTTTTTGTGGTTGTACATAATGGTCATTTAGTCATATATGCACATAGGATAATGATGCTTGATTTATTATACTGTCCTTCATCCCCAGCCCTTTTAAATTTTATTTTCAGACAGGATCTGGCTATGTTGTCTAGCCTCACCTGGAACATGTGATCCTCCTGCCTCAGCTTCTCAATTCTGTTGGAATTAAAGGCTCTGGCCACCATACCTGAAGAATATAGTTTATTTTGACCCAAATATTAATGACCATCCTCAGGAACATGAGGATGTTCATTTAACTTATCCTGAATGATGTATGTGTTCCACTCTGGAAGAGATTACTTTTTTTTTTTTTTTAATACCAAGGATTGAACCCAGGGGTAATTAACTAGTGAGCCATATCCACAGCCCTTTTTATATTTTATTTTGAGGCCTGATCGTCCTTAGGGCCTCACTAAGTTACTGAGGCTGGCTTTGAATTTAGCAGTCCTCCTGACTCAGTTTCTCAACCTGCATAGCTGAGAAGAACATTTGTAAAGAAAGTTATGTAAGAATACATTAACCAATTGCATTGGTAGGATCATCAGATCGGTGACTACAGTAAAAAGGGTCGGGGGATTTCTTCTTTAGGTCTGTTATTACATTGTTAGCTTTGGAAGATGGTGCTTATATGTCAAATAAGGTTGGTAATATATACTGAGAAGTTTATTTGTTCTGAGAATTTTGAACTAATACAGAAATTGAGGTAATTGGCTATTAAAGGGCTTAAGATAGCCCAAGATAATTTTTGCCATTCATCCAGGACCCTGTCTTACTGCCCTCATGGTGGTTTAGTTCCCCAAAGTCAAGTGGTCTGGATTTTCATTGATATAGAGCAAGTTCATAGAGAATTTCAGTTCATACCTGCAAAAATTCTGTGTTTCTCCTTTTATCTTTCTTAGGAATAAGCACCATATCCGATTTTCTCAGGCAAGTTTCCTTTGGACACCTCACAGAGTCCTATGTTCTCAATCACTAGTGTTTCCTGGGCCTGCCACAATGTGCCCACAGGTATCCTGTGTCCCGCATGGTTCAAGGAATTTTAGGCACTCGGTCAGCTCCTCTTAGAGGACAGCCTAATGTGTGAGGTACAGCCTTTTGGGGGATCAGCTGGAAGTCTTGGGGCTAAGGAATGTCCTGGAACAAGCCTCATCTAGACAACTAACTTCTTGGGGCCTTGTTTTCCCCAAGCCCTGTTCCCATTCCTTGGAGACAGGTGTGCAGTCAGCCTGTGGATGCTGGTGGTGAGAGGCCATGTCACCAGTGATTCCTGACCCTTGCATTCTCTCACAGTGTAAAAGAGCAAAAACTCTCCCAGAGCCTAAGGACCAGCCACCCCAATGCAGTGCTGAGCAAACCCGAAAAGCCTCATAAGCTGGAGTCATGGTCCAGGTCTCGTGGGAGAGTGATCATAGAGTGCTTCAGTGGGTATGACCAGGTGTGAGGATGTCCCAGCTGGCAGGGGGACCTTCTGTACTTCTGAGCCTATTAGGTTTGCTTCCTCAGCACCAGCCATTTTGTGTTTATCACTTTGAAATGATCTGCTTATTATCTGAAGCCCACGTTTATTTATTAAAAACCAAATATGGTGAAATATTATGAAAAAGAGAATACAGAGGGGATTTTAAAAAGTCTACTTACATTTTCATTTGTTAAATATCCTAATTTGCAGCAACATTCACAGGTGCCCCAGATGCTGAGGCAGGAGGGTTTAAAGTTTGAGGACATCTTTACCAACTTAGGGAGACCCTATGCAACTTGATGAGACTTCAAAGATTGGGGATATGGTTCAGTGGTCAACTGCCTCTGGGTTCAATCACAAGTATTAAAAAAATATATGCCTCATCTTTGTGCCACCACGTTTGCAGCTAGACTATTAGCTTATGAAATTTAGCAGTTACATAAATACTATGTTCATACTCAGTGTGATCTCTACAAGATTTTCACTGATCTTAGATATGGTCCACTATTTCCATTTTTAGGAGTAGTTTCTGTTAAGTTCACCAAGAAGCACAGCACTCCTGGCCCTGGATTTCACAAAATTTACTAAAATGCTCAGGGTTTTTTCAGAGAGTGTAGATCTTGGGGAAGTTCAGTCTCCTTAATCTCTTTGCTAAGAAAGCATATTGTCTTTCTATTGATTTCATTGTATTTAATGCCTCACATTTTGCGCTTTTTCCATTATAATCATTTTTTGTCATTCATGAGATGTATTTTAGTATAGTTTCTGTGTGTGTGTGTGTGTGTGTGTGTGTGTGTGTGTGTGTGTATTTGTGCCCTGCTTCGGATTGAACATAGGGCCTCATGCATGCTTGGCAAATGCTCTACTGTTGGGCAACTCCCCAGCCCAAGAAAATGGACTATTATTGATGTATTTACTTATGTATTAACTGGTGGGATTTAAGCCACGGACTTGCTCATGCTTGTTATCCTTCAAAAACATGTTTTAAGTTTGTGAAAGCATTTTCTTGGAGGGTAGGTGTTTCCCTAAGGATTAATCCCAGAGCCACTTGACCACTGAGCATATCCCCAGTGTTTTTTGTTTTTATTTTTTATCTATTTTTAATTTTGTTTTAGTAATAAATGGACAGAATACCTTAATTTTGTTGATTTATTTGTGGATCTAAGTTTTGAATCAAGTGTCTCACACATGCTAGTCAAATGCCCTGTCACTGAGTGACAGTCTCTTTCCCTCATTTTCATTCTTGATTAAGAGCAAGTCTCACTATATTTCTGATACTTTTGTACATGACTGAGGCTGGCTTCAGTGTTGTCATCTTCTGGCCCTGACCTCCCTAGTTAGTAAAATTTGAAGTGCACACCACCACACCAGGAGTTATAATGACTTTTAAAGGTAAGTCACCCATTTCTCTCAAAGTGGAAACAGTATTGAAAATCAGTTTCCTTGCTTTTCTTCATAGTTATGAAATTTGTATATATAACTCTTCCTCTTTCCTTTATGCCGCAGTCCAGCTGCAGCAAAATAACCGTGGGGTGACGAACAACTTGTGTAGGTTGATACAGCAGGAGTGGGAGCTGTTTATTGTAGGACTGGAGGGGTATATATACATTACACACAGCTTATCTTAATTAACATAAACTAGATACAGCAGTCAACCAATAAGGAATCTCCACACTTAATGGCTCACTGGCATTACTTCATAAACCACTCCCCCTGGCAAAATGCCAGGCGCCATTTTTTTTTTTTTTTTAAAAGAGAGAGAGAGAGAGAAAATTTTTTTAATATTTATTTTTCAGTTTTTGGCAGACACAACATCCTTGTTTGTATGTGGTGCTGAGGATTGAACCCGGGCCACACACATGCCAGGCGAGCGCGCTACCGCTTGAGCCACATCCCCAGCCCAGGCGCCATCTTGACTTGTTTACAGACCCTAACATTTCCCCCTTTTGTTTAATTTAAATAACAACCATAGTGGTTTTTACAGAAACACCATAAATAGTCTGCTACAAGCAGAAGGGGAGGATACAAAATGCCACAATACCAAGCCAATTGATGGCTCCATGCAAGAAGCCCTTGGAAAAATTATACCAGCAATGACACCGTTAACAAAGATACCGAGTTACAATTTGTTGTAGATTACAGTTTGTTGTCTCAATCCAGGTAAAGCAGTGTCTCAATAGATTAACTCACAGTCCAGGTAAATCACAGTCCAGGTAAGTTCTGCAGGCAGAGAGCTTGATCCGAAGTCTCTTCCGGTTCTCAGTAACACTGGAAATTTTTCCACCTGTGTAGATTGATACAGCAGGAGTGGAAGCCGTTTATTGCAGGATAGGAGCAGTATTTATACATTCCACACAGCTTATCTAATTAGCATAAACTAGATACATCAGTCAACCAATAAGGAATCTCCACACTTAATGGCTCGCTGGTGTTACTGCACAAACCACTCCCTCTGGCATTTTGCCAGGCACCATTCAGACTTGTTTACAGACTAACATTTCCCCATTTTGTTTGATTTAAATAACGACCATAGTGGTTTTTACAGAAACACCATAAATAGTCTGCTACAAGCAGAAGGGGAGGATACAAAATGTCACAATACCAAGCC